CCCACCCCGCCCCCTCCCTCTACCTGTTCACACAGTTTGCATTAGCCACACCGCTGGAGAGCCACGGCGTCTAACCGCGGCAAGATAGATGGGCGCCGGCGCAGGCATGTCAGCTCGGCGGGCCAGGCGCACGGTAACAAGGTGGGCGTGGCCCTCCGCCGAAATGGGCTGCACATGAGCAATTTGTTACCGGCTAAGAGGAAGAACGGCGCTGCGGTCGCTGGTCAACATTTGCCAACAGGTACGCCAAGGGGTTCTCCCTTTGAAAGTGGCCCCAGCTAATTGTTGGCTAACCTTTTAAGAGTGTAAATGGTTTGAAGTAGTTAAGTAGAAACGTTTTCCATTGAAATACCCTAATCCGTTCCAAGCCCCGCCAAAATTCAGACATGAATATTTCTAAAGCATAAAAATGCATGAAAATATGTAACGAATACATGTTCTAATTAGATTAGGTTTTTGCCTGGCGTTTTGTCAAGAACTGACCCAAGGACGTTTGCTTTTGTCGGCTTTTAACAATCCTTGGAAAATGTCCAAGGCAAACATCAGCATCGTGAGCGATCGCCCGACTGGTGAACACTTTTTCTGGGTGATTCACATTTACGTAAAAGTATCGGAACGCCTCATGGCCCGAGGGGCGAATGACGAGGACGCTGCATAGACACATATGGTAGTCCCTCATAGCCAATGGGATGCCAGGATGATGCTCGGTAATAGCCAATGGCAGAGCAGCTATGAGTATGTTGCGTTCAGGAAACTTTGAGCTGCGAGTAGCGGCCCATACTCTATTTTTACCCTTCGTATCTTGAAATTAATTTCGTAACAAGAGGCAATATTTTCAAGTTGAGGCGTTTCATAACTTTTCATTTGAAGACACGTTCGTAAGTCGAGGTACCACTGTATAGTCTGGACCAGCGACAATGAAAATCTTGATCACATCTCAGTGAGTGTCGAATTTGCCAGACCCCACGTCAAGGAACACGGGCAGGTTGTGGAGTGTCCCACTGTGGCCGAGACGGAGATTGCAGCCGCCATCTGGCGCTATTTTATTGATGTAACATTTAATATCGTCCATCCACTAAAAGCGGATCCGACTCATGAGCTCCATTCGCACTTGTGAGTGCAGTGGGAGTTGACCATTTGGGCGATTGGGAGGTTAGAAGGGCAGAACCGATTGCAAATTCAAAATGAGGATGCGGAGAAAAAAGAAAAAAAAAAAAGAGGCCGAAGAGTCGGTCTCTAAACGCATCTCCCTCTCAGGAGAGAAGCCGGTAGAGGTGAGAGAAGAAGAAAGAGAGAGACGAATGCTTTCAGGAGCCGCAACTGCACTCTTAAGGAGGCGTGCGCACACCCGCGCATTTGCTCAAGCGCACCGGTCCACCTTAACAGAGAGGCACATGCCGTCCTGAAGGTGTATTCCCTTGAGATAGGCTCTCTCAATCATTTATAAGCCTCCCAACATTAGCCATTCAGATCATTTAGGGCAAAGGCAATGCCTGTCACCTCCCTTGCTATCATCTTCTGCTTCTCGTTTATTCTCGTCGCAGAGCTTTGTTTATCTCCGGCCGGGAAGGCGAGCGAGCTTTTGTTTTAAAACGATGGTTTATAAATAGGTCCCAAGAAGACGTCGCCAATCAAAAGAACTGTCAGCTGGCAGAAGGCATGCAAGGGGAAAAGGGAAAGAGAAAAAAAAAATGGAACAATTCCAATGACTGGCAGCTCGAAATGTTCTTGTGTTGGACTACTTGACTTATTCTTGTTTGTAATGTCTTAATAAATCAAATTTGCAGTTCGGTGGCTGCGACTGTACTCGTACCGTAGAGTGACTCCATACTGGCTGCGTCGTTGTCAATAAGCGCCGACGCCACCCACACAATGCCCAGGATGAGCAGAGCCAGCAAGAAGAGCATCACAAAGGTCTCCAAAATGCGTGCCTTAATACCCTAGTGCACAAAAATAACAAACGTCAACGTCTTGCCGCGGGCGTCATAAACCCTCAAATCCTATCAGGATGATTTTTTTTTTTTTTACTCGTACCGTAGAGTGACTCCATACTGGCTGCGTCGTTGTCAATAAGCGCCGACGCCACCCACACAATGCCCAGGATGAGCAGAGCCAGCAAGAAGAGCATCACAAAGGTCTCCAAAATGCGTGCCTTAATACCCTAGTGCACAAAAATAACAAACGTCAACGTCTTGCCGCGGGCGTCATAAACCCTCAAATCCTATCAGGATGATTTTTTTTTTTTTTAAATGGGCTTTATTTTAATGGACATCCCGTTTCCTCCCATCAGGCCACACTAGCGGCACACAAACATGACATAAATGCTCCCGCCGATACCTCTGTAAAACGGCTCTTTTATACACATGGAGTGCGCTCTGTAAAGCGCCTCTAACGGGCTCACTGGCAGAGGTGAAATTAAAAAAAAAAAAAAAAAAAAAAAAAACCTGAGAGATATCATCCAGTTGTCTTGAAACTGTGAGTGGTTCATTTTAACATGTTCAGACGATTGGAATGAGCAAAGCTTTTTATTTTATCAAACACTGTTGCCAGGGCGACGTGCTGTTGGACAATACCAATACAATAACATACATGTTTACTGATGTTAACATCAGTAAACATGTATGTATGTAGGAATTACTACAACTAGTTCTGTAGTAATTCCCCCCCGCCCCCAACACACACACACAGCGACAGCCAACGAGAGCGAGCGACAGCCAACGAGAGCGAGCGACAGCCAACGAGAGCGAGCGACGGCGGCGGGCGGTTGGGGCGCCGGTGGTGGGGGGGAGTTTCGACACATGCCGATATCCAATTTTATCAATTCTCACTATTGGCCGAACTGAACATTCGGGGAGTGCAGAAGAGTCTATTTTTGTATTGTAGTAATGAGACGAAAAAGACGTCGTATGATTTCGTTATTGACGGGGTGAGGTATCTTGCTACTTTTCTCATAACCCGAAATTCGAGCGACCTACCGTCGGCTTCACGAGTAACTGGCCCATGACCGTGAACATCCTTGACAATCCCACAGGGGTGCACACTACGAGAGAGAATAGAAAAAGTGCCAACATGTAAATGCCTTGCGGTCTCGATCAAATCTATGGTGAAAAGGCTTACTGAGTAAGAGCAGTCCTCCCATCAGAGATATACACGAGTACAGGTAGGGTAAGTAGAATTCCCAGAGGTCTATGGAAAGAAAGTCATATTAATCCATTTGAAGGGGAAAAAAAATTGAATTAAATTAAACCTGGGAAAAAAATGGTCCATGTAAATTATTTCCGAAAAACAACACAGAAAATTACGTGAAATTAAATGAAAATCAATATTGTGAAATAAAATACAATAAATTAATTCTAAAATGGAAGATTAAAAAAAGAAAATCCCTTTATTGGTAAAATAATACTTTCAAATAAAATAATAAGTAAAATGTAATACTGCAATTAAAAAAAAGGACTGACCAAGAATGCCCGAAAATAAGAAAAATAAAACAAATACATGAAAATAAATAGACAGGGAAATCCTTTGGTGGTCAAAGGAGGGCATGAAAGATAACTTGAATAATATAAAAAATAAAATATTAAATGTAGTAAGCACCAAATTACAAAAAGGATCAAGTTTGTCCACTTTTGGGGGCGGCAAACATATTTTTGCAACTTTCAAATTATTTACAACCTCATTGTATGTTTGCATTTATTAGAGCAAAAAAAAAAATGGAACAATTCCAATGACTGGCAGCTCGAAATGTTCTTGTGTTGGACTACTTGACTTATTCTTGTTTGTAATGTCTTAATAAATCAAATTTGCAGTTCGGTGGCTGCGACTGTACTCGTACCGTAGAGTGACTCCATACTGGCTGCGTCGTTGTCAATAAGCGCCGACGCCACCCACACAATGCCCAGGATGAGCAGAGCCAGCAAGAAGAGCATCACAAAGGTCTCCAAAATGCGTGCCTTAATACCCTAGTGCACAACAATAACAAACGTCAACGTCTTGCCGCGGGCGTCCGTTCTAATTGTGTAGCGTTGGCTAAATATAGCCACTCTGAAATATTTACCATCCCCTGATCCTCGCCGTGACATCGAGCTAGGGGGGCCGGGGGACATCCCGTTTCCTCCCATCAGGCCACACTAGCGGCACACAAACATGACATAAATGCTCCCGCCGATACCTCTGTAAAACGGCTCTTTTATACACATGGAGTGCGCTCTGTAAAGCGCCTCTAACGGGCTCACTGGCAGAGGTGAAATTAAAAAAAAAAAAAAAAGAGAGAAGGGGGTGACAGCGAAGGGGGTGCGAGGTCAGCTACTGTCTGCGATCAAGAGCAGGCCTCCCATCTGGGCCCGATTAGGCGCTCTTCTAGCGCCGTTGTATCCTGGCCGGCGCAGACGGCGGGCTTTCGGAGTAATTTGGGTTTTCCGGGTCACAAACTGCTGAGTGGTTAATTAAGTGCCCCCCCCCACCCCGCCCCCTCCCTCTACCTGTTCACACAGTTTGCATTAGCCACACCGCTGGAGAGCCACGGCGTCTAACCGCGGCAAGATAGATGGGCGCCGGCGCAGGCATGTCAGCTCGGCGGGCCAGGCGCACGGTAACAAGGTGGGCGTGGCCCTCCGCCGAAATGGGCTGCACATGAGCAATTTGTTACCGGCTAAGAGGAAGAACGGCGCTGCGGTCGCTGGTCAACATTTGCCAACAGGTACGCCAAGGGGTTCTCCCTTTGAAAGTGGCCCCAGCTAATTGTTGGCTAACCTTTTAAGAGTGTAAATGGTTTGAAGTAGTTAAGTAGAAACGTTTTCCATTGAAATACCCTAATCCGTTCCAAGCCCCGCCAAAATTCAGACATGAATATTTCTAAAGCATAAAAATGCATGAAAATATGTAACGAATACATGTTCTAATTAGATTAGGTTTTTGCCTGGCGTTTTGTCAAGAACTGACCCAAGGACGTTTGCTTTTGTCGGCTTTTAACAATCCTTGGAAAATGTCCAAGGCAAACATCAGCATCGTGAGCGATCGCCCGACTGGTGAACACTTTTTCTGGGTGATTCACATTTACGTAAAAGTATCGGAACGCCTCATGGCCCGAGGGGCGAATGACGAGGACGCTGCATAGACACATATGGTAGTCCCTCATAGCCAATGGGATGCCAGGATGATGCTCGGTAATAGCCAATGGCAGAGCAGCTATGAGTATGTTGCGTTCAGGAAACTTTGAGCTGCGAGTAGCGGCCCATACTCTATTTTTACCCTTCGTATCTTGAAATTAATTTCGTAACAAGAGGCAATATTTTCAAGTTGAGGCGTTTCATAACTTTTCATTTGAAGACACGTTCGTAAGTCGAGGTACCACTGTATAGTCTGGACCAGCGACAATGAAAATCTTGATCACATCTCAGTGAGTGTCGAATTTGCCAGACCCCACGTCAAGGAACACGGGCAGGTTGTGGAGTGTCCCACTGTGGCCGAGACGGAGATTGCAGCCGCCATCTGGCGCTATTTTATTGATGTAACATTTAATATCGTCCATCCACTAAAAGCGGATCCGACTCATGAGCTCCATTCGCACTTGTGAGTGCAGTGGGAGTTGACCATTTGGGCGATTGGGAGGTTAGAAGGGCAGAACCGATTGCAAATTCAAAATGAGGATGCGGAGAAAAAAGAAAAAAAAAAAAGAGGCCGAAGAGTCGGTCTCTAAACGCATCTCCCTCTCAGGAGAGAAGCCGGTAGAGGGGAGAGAAGAAGAAAGAGAGAGACGAATGCTTTCAGGAGCCGCAACTGCACTCTTAAGGAGGCGTGCGCACACCCGCGCATTTGCTCAAGCGCACCGGTCCACCTTAACAGAGAGGCACATGCCGTCCTGAAGGTGTATTCCCTTGAGATAGGCTCTCTCAATCATTTATAAGCCTCCCAACATTAGCCATTCAGATCATTTAGGGCAAAGGCAATGCCTGTCACCTCCCTTGCTATCATCTTCTGCTTCTCGTTTATTCTCGTCGCAGAGCTTTGTTTATCTCCGGCCGGGAAGGCGAGCGAGCTTTTGTTTTAAAACGATGGTTTATAAATAGGTCCCAAGAAGACGTCGCCAATCAAAAGAACTGTCAGCTGGCAGAAGGCATGCAAGGGGAAAAGGGAAAGAGAAAAAAAAAAGACATGCTGAAAGTTTCTATTCTCGCCGTTCTAATTGTGTAGCGTTGGCTAAATATAGCCACTCTGAAATATTTACCATCCCCTGATCCTCGCCGTGACATCGAGCTAGGGGGGCCGGGGGGGGGGGGGGAAAAATGTTTGGCTTGTGCGCGAACCGAAACGACTTCCAAGAAATACGTGGAGGATCATGGCAGAAAGTCGCCGCGACACAAAACACGCCATGCTGAGTTCGTCTTAATCATTGCGCACATGTGTGTACCCGGAAACAAATATTTTGTGAAACAATTATTCTTCCGATTTATGCCTTTGAGTAATCGGATCAAAATTGACTTTGCATGATCACATAACAAAATGCGCACGTGTGGTAAAGATATTGTTGTTGTCCACTGGAGGTCACCTTCCTCACGTTCCATACTGTAATATCTGTGACTTGAGTCCGTGGCTTTCAAGAGCCTTACGAGTGACCTGCAAGTCACTGATTGAGAATGTGTACGTTTGGCTGTTGTGAGCTCAGGTGAGCTGCCCAACTGTTAACCAATTAACAGCTAAAATTATTTGCTGGGGAAAGAAAATCTCGAACAATTTATTAAAAATTATTATTATTATTTTACTGTAACTTCAGTCGCTAATACATTCCGCAAACTGTCTTCCTGTTTAGTCATGTTCTTTTTTCATTTTGGTTGAGGGGTCAGTGGGTGGTTAGCATGCTATGTGTTATGCGTGTTAGCATTTCATTCGTCGTCTTTTTCCGCCGAAATGGGCTGCACATGAGCAATTTGTTACCGGCTAAGAGGAAGAACGGCGCTGCGGTCGCTGGTCAACATTTGCCAACAGGTACGCCAAGGGGTTCTCCCTTTGAAAGTGGCCCCAGCTAATTGTTGGCTAACCTTTTAAGAGTGTAAATGGTTTGAAGTAGTTAAGTAGAAACGTTTTCCATTGAAATACCCTAATCCGTTCCAAGCCCCGCCAAAATTCAGACATGAATATTTCTAAAGCATAAAAATGCATGAAAATATGTAACGAATACATGTTCTAATTAGATTAGGTTTTTGCCTGGCGTTTTGTCAAGAACTGACCCAAGGACGTTTGCTTTTGTCGGCTTTTAACAATCCTTGGAAAATGTCCAAGGCAAACATCAGCATCGTGAGCGATCGCCCGACTGGTGAACTCTTTTTCTGGGTGATTCACATTTACGTAAAAGTATCGGAACGCCTCATGGCCCGAGGGGCGAATGACGAGGACGCTGCATAGACACATATGGTAGTCCCTCATAGCCAATGGGATGCCAGGATGATGCTCGGTAATAGCCAATGGCAGAGCAGCTATGAGTATGTTGCGTTCAGGAAACTTTGAGCTGCGAGTAGCGGCCCATACTCTATTTTTACCCTTCGTATCTTGAAATTAATTTCGTAACAAGAGGCAATATTTTCAAGTTGAGGCGTTTCATAACTTTTCATTTGAAGACACGTTCGTAAGTCGAGGTACCACTGTATAGTCTGGACCAGCGACAATGAAAATCTTGATCACATCTCAGTGAGTGTCGAATTTGCCAGACCCCACGTCAAGGAACACGGGCAGGTTGTGGAGTGTCCCACTGTGGCCGAGACGGAGATTGCAGCCGCCATCTGGCGCTATTTTATTGATGTAACATTTAATATCGTCCATCCACTAAAAGCGGATCCGACTCATGAGCTCCATTCGCACTTGTGAGTGCAGTGGGAGTTGACCATTTGGGCGATTGGGAGGTTAGAAGGGCAGAACCGATTGCAAATTCAAAATGAGGATGCGGAGAAAAAAGAAAAAAAAAAAAGAGGCCGAAGAGTCGGTCTCTAAACGCATCTCCCTCTCAGGAGAGAAGCCGGTAGAGGGGAGAGAAGAAGAAAGAGAGAGACGAATGCTTTCAGGAGCCGCAACTGCACTCTTAAGGAGGCGTGCGCACACCCGCGCATTTGCTCAAGCGCACCGGTCCACCTTAACAGAGAGGCACATGCCGTCCTGAAGGTGTATTCCCTTGAGATAGGCTCTCTCAATCATTTATAAGCCTCCCAACATTAGCCATTCAGATCATTTAGGGCAAAGGCAATGCCTGTCACCTCCCTTGCTATCATCTTCTGCTTCTCGTTTATTCTCGTCGCAGAGCTTTGTTTATCTCCGGCCGGGAAGGCGAGCGAGCTTTTGTTTTAAAACGATGGTTTATAAATAGGTCCCAAGAAGACGTCGCCAATCAAAAGAACTGTCAGCTGGCAGAAGGCATGCAAGGGGAAAAGGGAAAGAGAAAAAAAAAAGACATGCTGAAAGTGTTTGGCTTGTGCGCGAACCGAAACGACTTCCAAGAAATACGTGGAGGATCATGGCAGAAAGTCGCCGCGACACAAAACACGCCATGCTGAGTTCGTCTTAATCATTGCGCACATGTGTGTACCCGGAAACAAATATTTTGTGAAACAATTATTCTTCCGATTTATGCCTTTGAGTAATCGGATCAAAATTGACTTTGCATGATCACATAACAAAATGCGCACGTGTGGTAAAGATATTGTTGTTGTCCACTGGAGGTCACCTTCCTCACGTTCCATACTGTAATATCTGTGACTTGAGTCCGTGGCTTTCAAGAGCCTTACGAGTGACCTGCAAGTCACTGATTGAGAATGTGTACGTTTGGCTGTTGTGAGCTCAGGTGAGCTGCCCAATTGTTAACCAATTAACAGCTAAAATTATTTGCTGGGGAAAGAAAATCTCGAACAATTTATTAAAAATTATTATTATTATTTTACTGTAACTTCAGTCGCTAATACATTCCGCAAACTGTCTTCCTGTTTAGTCATGTTCTTTTTTCATTTTGGTTGAGGGGTCAGTGGGTGGTTAGCATGCTATGTGTTATGCGTGTTAGCATTTCATTCGTCGTCTTTTGACTTCTGTCAGTGGGTGGTTAGCATGCTACGTGTTATGCGTGTTAGCATTTCATTCGTCGTCTTTTGACTTCCAGTCCAAGCACAGGGAATAATATAAAATCCTGAAATCACCCGTTGCTCTTTTTTAATCGCCCTTTACACACTTTTGTCCTCCAGTCGCTAGCTTGCGTTATGTTACATTCCCAAATGCTATCATGCTAGCGTCCGAGATCATCCGCCGGACCGTCTGTCTGTTGGCTGTCAGAAGCGTGTGGAGCGAGGGCCAAAAGGGTTAAGTGAGGGAGGGTGTGAGCGAGAAAGGCCCCTGCCAGATGCCCGAGGACCTTATTAGCGCATTGTTGAAGGGCCGAGGCCGCAATGACCGTGTGGGGAGACGCAAAGCAGAGAGGACAGAGAGAAGGGGACACGCCGGCCCGTAAAGCGCAGGAATGGACTTCTAAGGCCTCTTTTAATAAGACTCCTCGATAACGATGCGAGGCGCATGGAAAATGATCAGCATCACGTCGTATTGTTCAAACGCGAGCGATCGGACGCATAAAAAAAAAAAAACAACTTGTTTATGGTCGACACAGTGTGACCGCAGCTTGTTCTGCTTCTGTGCTTCTTTTCATCAAGCTAAGAAGCGCAACGTTTCCATCAACGTCATCCTTCGGATCAATTCATCTATCAAAGCTTCCTTTCAGAATCCTAATTCTCCATCGTCGCTAAATTAGCTGTATTTTCGTTGCCGGCTAGATAAATCTGCGCATACTAATTCGGCGAATGTTAGCACTTTGTCCAGGCTCATTAGCCTTGTAGGAGTCGTAGCCGACTTCAGGACATGACGTAAAAGCCACGTTATTGATGTACCAATGGATCAAGTTGAAGGTTCAAAAGTTTGGATGAGTTTGGCGCCGAAAAATGCCATGAATACCAGCCACTCTTTCAGGTCCGAAAAACAATCGTGAAAAGAGGGGAGACGAACTCCATGCTTGGAGTTGAACTTTCTAAAGCTTGAATACCCGCATATTGTATGCCAAATACACTTGAAAGGATGTCCCCAGTTTACAACCGGATTTCACTCTGGCGGCGCGACCCAAACATGTACGCAGGTCGAAATGTCCAATTAATTCACACTAATGCAGTCATAAATGTCAGGAAATGACAGTAAATATGTGAATGAAAACCGTTTTCAATGGGGGGGGGGATGGAAGGAGACTGGTAATTAAAAGCCTCAGGCTCTGCCCTAGTTCATGACATCTTCATGAAAAAAAAAAAACAAACTACTCGACGGTTTAGAAAACGACGTCAATTGATGAAGAGGGGCGGAAAAAAAAAAAAAGAACCTGAGCAACTTGCTTGTTCTTTTTTTATTTTCTTTTTTAAATTCCCGGCTGGAGCTAATATGTTCTCATGGCAACCGACATTGTAACCGACAGCTTTAGGGAGACATTGTGACCTTAAAGGAAGGTATGTAAACACCACTTTATATTCCCGGCCGGCCCCTGCCCAAAAGAAGGCCTGGGAAAAATGTCCGCATGTGCAGGAGATTTGAAATAAATATCCCAGCCCCCATTGTGGAGGGGCAACAAAGACGAGTATCTTAGTAACACCACGCGGGGTTTGCTCGGTGAGACGTTCTTGAAACCTGTTGGCCCTCCGCTGGGTCAGTCAAAGGGGTCAGACTGGTTGCAACTCGTTTCAGGATCAAACACATTTCACACACGCAGAGGGGAAGACGCGGCCACTTTTCACTGCAAGGCCTTATTTGTAACGCGGCACTTTCTCATTGCTGCACACTTTCAACTCAACAAGACGTCTCCCAATAAGACAAGAACAACCCCACAAAGGATCCCACCCCCCACACCCTCCCAAACATTTTACATGACAGTGGAACCTCAAAAGTCAAGCTCAAATCCTTTTCGGGGATGCTGGTTAAGGAACAATTATTTCCCATAGAAAGTAAATAGAAATAACGGGATGCTCGCCAAAATAAAAACACTTTTGATCATCTTAAATCGAGATGGGTGACTACCGATAGTATCGAGCCGATGCACCGGCTTTATTGAAAGGTATCGAGAACTTCATGCAGGATTCCAAAACCAGCCACTGATACTTCAGGGAGAAAAAAAAAAAATCTGACATCGCATAAGTTCCCCTTTTGCAGTTTTGTGGTCAAATCATCTGCCTCAGAAAGGCTCACATTTTTTTGTCCTCACGTTCAATGAAATTTTAAGTACTTGAGGTTTCGGTACATCGTATCGGAGAGTACTCGGGAGTGATTCCTCTCCTTCTGATATCGCCCAGAAAAAAAGAGATGTTGAACGTTTGTAATATGAAGCAATTTAATAATCAATATACAAAAAAATTTTTGCTCATTTCATGATGGATACTTCACTTTACCGGGGATCATAAATGACAAACCGCCGAGGCTAGCGCTTCAAAGCTTTCCGATTAACACGCGTGCACGGGCTTGCCGTTTTGTTTGAAGGCAACATCGCTTCGAGATATTCCACTCGTTATATCTACAAATGAAACGCTTCATTAATTTCGTGATCTAAATAGACACGTTCATCATGCCCTATACTGTCCTTGTGACCAGAGTGCTGTTGAAAACATCGGAAAAAGATCCGATTGCAGTGGTGGGCCTAAACGCTAGCATGCTTTAGCTTGGATACCAGTCCATCGAAATAAATCAATGCTATTCATCGCTGTTTGTGAAATTCTGATTTAAAAAATAATATCTGTAAAAACAAGTATCGATAAGAAGTATCACTGTATCACCAATAAAGTTAGTCCCACAGGTTTTATTGCGGCCATAAAGCTTTGAAATCACTCTCCGGCTAAATGATATACGTTAGCCCACTCTAGTTCTCAGTGGCTCAATTCCAATGTGTTGTTTAAAAAAATGAAATAATCGAGTAAAGAGCTGAACCCAAGATTGACCTCTAAAAGCCTGAACGATGCAGCTCCTCGGCAAGGATTTGAGCACCCGGCCGTAAAAAGGGGGGAGACATTTTACAGCAGCAAATAAAGCTCGGATCATAACATCAGAAGTCGGGACCCTTTAAGTCGCTCCGATTCATCCACAATTTGGACAATTTGTTACACTATTAATCACTCGGCCGCCATCCGACAACGAGCTGAACAGTTAAAGCTGGGAAAAAAAAAAAAAGTTTTAAAAAGTTTGACGTTTTCCATCTTTTTGTCACGGTGGCGTCTTTTATTGCATCATCAAACATAAGCGCGGCCACATGAAAAGGCTGGCGCGCGACATTAGCCGCTAAATTCATCACTTGCTTCATTTCCGCACTCACAAGGAGCACAAGCTTGAAATGCCACATAAAAAAACAAACAAAAAAAAAGTTGCACTCGCATAGCATTGTCGCCACCTCATACTGTTAATTTGTTCTCATCGTGTTTTAAGTTTTTTTTTTTCATGCAGCTTCCCAACAATAGGATACATTGTGTTATTATTGTGTTGTCATAGTGTTAATATTTCATTGCATGGTGTTATGGCAGCGCTGTAAAACTCATTTTCGTCACGGGCCTGATTTTAGTTACAGTTTCCCTTCGGTGGGCTGTTATGACTGAAACAATATAAAAAAGTCAAGAATAAACAGTTCATTCGCATATTGTTTAAGTTGCTGTCATGAGGGCTGTGGTAACAAAAAAATGCTTACAGTATCACTCTTCTTTATTCCAAAATGAGAATTTGAAATGTTGGTACAGATTTTAGCACAAGCATCATGAAAGTTGACCTGTTTGATTTGCTTTCGCAGGCCACATAAAATGATGTGGCGGGCCAGATCTGGCCCCCGGGCCTTGGGTTTGACACAGGTGGTGTTATGGTTTCACAGCATAATTTATTGCAGTCTAATATTTATTGCATTCTCATAATGAATCATTTTGGCGTTTTTTTTTAATTTTTTTGTGACAGCATTTGCAGTTGGTCTGTCGGGTTGTTAGCATTATTGGGATAAAGAGATACATGTGTATGTTTTGACACTTATTTTGCGTAAGCTGCACGAACGACCGGCTTTCGTCGGCCAAGCGTGACCTCCGTCCGGTCCGAGCTTAGCAGGCACGCGAGACATACCTGCACGTGCAGCCAAACATTGAACAGAGCCGGCCGGCACAGAGCTGGCCTTTAAGTATATTGATGGAAGATGCGGTAGCAAGAACCCAGAATCAAAAGGCAACGAGGGCCGGGCCCGCCCTTTGCTTCCCACGCTGACCAAATTCCACCAAAACAAATTAGGAACACAAAAAAAAAAAAAAAAGAGCTGGCCTTGCAGCTACAGTACAGGGCGATTTTTACGTGCTTTTTGCCAGGAAGGACATAAACCAGGGGGCGTTTCAAACTGTGCCACAGGATAGAGGCGTATTAAAAGTAAATCTTTCCCCCTCCATTTTGCAAGCTTCTATTGTGCTGTCATGTTGCTGCCACTTTATGGATTCTTGGAACACGAGCCCCCCCCAAAGTCGCTCACCCTCTCCCTTTTTTTTTTCTCCGAGGGTGGGGTGTAATCAATTAAACTAGGAAGTTCGCCGAGCCTTACAACTCGATTATTAGCCTGTCCTTTTGAAGTTTTATTTTAGGAGGTTGTTGGGGGGGGAGGCTTTGGGGGTGGCGGGCAACGGGGCATCAGGCTTTAAATCAGTGGGGCCGATGCAGCCGCGTTGAAGCGTTTGCAGCCGACGCGGCCTTATTGTGAGGCCTTGTCAGGATGTGGCGCGGGGCGAAGTCCAGATTCCCACTTTCATGGTTAATGAGCTTTCGGTCGGCGGCCTGAGTCAGCGAGAGGACACGCAATGAAGCACCTGCTGCTGCTAACCCCCCCACCACCCCACCCTACCCCTACCACTTAGATGCAGAAATACCGAACAGTAAAAAGCGTCTTATTTCTACCTTTTTAGATCCGGCGAAGCCCTCCGACTCCAGGAAGAAATAGGCGAAGGGCATCAGGACAAAGAGGCAAAGGTTGGAAAAGAGGGACACCAGATTCCACAAACCTGGAGAAAGTAAGGTACAGCATTGGCAGATTGATTGCCAATCAACCAAATCATTAGCATATATTGATTCTCTTTATGCCAGCGACTTATAGTGACAGCCAGGACAATTAAATACTCTTTCACCTTTCCATTGTAAAATAAACTGCTCACAAACAGTTTGGGATTTTCGAGTGAAATGTCAGGAGGTGAATTTAGTTTGACCTCTGAACTTGGAAAGTCCAACTGTTCAGTGACTCAGTAATTCTTGCACAACTTGCAAAACAAGGGGCTGAACGGGGGAAAAAAATGACTACTGGTATTTGACGAATGCATTTCCAAGGGTATTGTGACTCTTTTGATCAAACTGAACTGGGAAATGTGTTGGTCAACTCATGAATCAAACACCTGTTGGGAATTTTGCTCTTCAGCTCCTTGTTGAAAATAGCAAGTTGTGCAAGAAGTATTGAAACATTCAAATTAAGATCCCCTTTAATGGTGATAAAGCATTCGAAAATGTCACCCAATAACCCCAACTTTTTGTGTGGAGTACCCGTGGGCTCAATGAAAGCTGAAACATTTGAGTCAAGCTGGCAGGCAGATTTGAGGATGCAGCCGCGGTGAAGATATTTGATGGACTCTCCCGCCCCCTTGTGGCCATTGCTGCCCATAGCAGCTTGTCGATGCCGCATTGCATCGCTGCACAAGTTTCACAAAACATGTTGAATCACCGCGCGATTGAAAGGTGTCTGGAAAAATGATGTGGACTGACCGTGGATGAGGGAGCCATTGAGCCACTGGATGTAGTAGTTCTTGGGGAAGGACAGCAGGATCTCGTTGCTGATGATGGAGAACGGCAGCAGGAAGACGGCGCCACCCGACACGGCGAGCGTGAACGTGCACAGGTACAATCTGCAAGTGCGGGTGGGGGGTCAAAGTTGTTTGGGTGTTTTGAACACACAATGTGTCATTCTCTTTGTTTTAGGTTTAGTTTGACGGTAAACTTGAATTAGCTTGAAGCCTTTTGCGGGCTGGGGGGCCTGCTCACTATTTGCAAAACTGAGTTGAGTTGCGTTCATGAGCTGGCCAGCAGTTCTACAGGAACAGTTTCAGTCTCGCAACTTTATTCTGGTAATTTTTCATATTATGATTTTCTCCTAATATCACACTATTTTAGTCAACGTTTGACCTTACTGTCTGAATTTTGATTTGAAATGAAAAAAGTTAAATTTATTTCGAGCCATTTTCATATACTTCTCAAATAATTACCTACTGGTACTTTTTTTTTGTCATATGACTTCATTTTTGTCAAAACAAATAATCTCAGTCATAATATGACTTTTTGTAAACATTGACATCATTCCAGTTTTTACGTTTCCTGGAATATTACTTCTCCACACAATAACATCACTCTCAACCTTTGACATTATTTATGCTATATGACTTTATCGTTGAGTGCATTTTTTCCATCATGATATTATGACCTTATTCTCATGGGGGGGGGGGGTTCCTTCATATCCTTTTTTTTCCTCCTGTTTCATCAGGTGATGAATGCAGCGCTTGACTTTATGTTCTGTATTGCTGGTAGGCTCTCATGTTTTGTTTTGCATCCTTGTGGAACTCTAGCGTTGGATGTAATCTTTTAAGAGGCGGACTGCAGCACACCCTTCTGCTTAAAATGTCCTTTTTCCTCCATTTGGATCATGTTTTATATCGGGGGTGCGCACAATGGAAGCAGCGTGTTGGACTCACGATATTCTGTTGACAACAGCATCTTCGTCCTCATGGTCATCTAGAAAAGTAGAAAAGTCATTTGGAGATGATCGAAAACAACTGGGCTGAATTTGTATTGTTTTGACCTCTTTGCAAGAAAGTCAGCACCGGACCATTTATCAGGTGTCTGTAAAAGATTATCCTGATTGATTATTCTGTGGTGTGGGGTGTGTCGGGTCTTTTTTGGGTTTAAAAAAAACAAAAAAAACAACAACCTTTGTATTCTTTGTGCTTTAGGGAAGTATGGATCCCTGCAGTGCCACGCTGCCCCATGCAGGTCAGTCTTGGTACTTCGATAAAGACTCTGGTTTGTCAGTGGACTGGAGATAATAGTTATGTGTGTGTGATCTGCTGTGTTGCTCATCTCAAGTACACCACACACGATAGGAACGGTGAGAACACATTTAATATTTTTTTGGGGTCAAAATTAAAGGTCAGGACTTCTGTAACCTGCCTGAGGTGTCTCCCGGACACCAGAATTTCAAAGACGCACTTACCCGTCTTCCTCCTGTATCGGGTGACAATGAAGTAGGAGACAATGTAGAGTACGGCAAATAGGAGGAAACATATCTGAAACGGCAATATGAAGAATATTAGTGGTGGCCATTTGGGAACACATGGGTAGAAACCAAAACACTTTATAACATGGGCGGCCCGGTGGTCGACTGGTTAGTGCGTCGGCCTCACAGTGCAGAGGTGCAGGGTTCCATTCCGGCTCTGGCCTTCCTGTGGAGAGTTTGCATTTTTTCTCCGTGCCCGCGTGGGTTTTCTCCGGGTACTCCGGTTTCCTCCCACATTCCAAAAACATGCGTGGCAGGCTGATTGAACACTCTAAATTGCCCCTTGGTGTGAGTGTGACCGCGGATGGTTGTTCGTCTTTATGTGCCCTGCGATTGGCTGGCAATCGGTTCCGGGTGTACCCTGCCTACTGCTCAAAGACGGCTGGGATAGGCTCCAGCACGCCCTTGTGTGAATAAGCAGATCAGAAAATGGATGGATGGACTTCACAACACTTTGAGTCTTGAAAAAGTATAAACAAGCTATCGCTTTCAAAACATGTGCTCATGTTTCCTCAAAAGTGGGCAAGGGGGTTTATTTACAACCTGATAAGATGTCCACTGTCGTTACCGCTGTCCCTCAAAGGGTTAAAAAGAAAATGGCTATTATATATTCGTATAGCTCAGAAAAAAACAGCATGTTTTTATGACACATAATTAGGCCAATGCGTTTCACAGATAGGACTCTCAAAGGTGTTTGTCGCGTCTAAATATGCTGACGGATAAGATCCCGTTCCACATTCCCCCCCTCCTCCTGTGACAGCAAGCGGGACGCCACTAATAGAAAGTTTAAGCTCTTGGCAGTGTCACAACATGACTCAGCCTGCGCGATGACGCCCAAACACACGGCACAGGATCAGGTGCGCAGGGCTGATAAAGCAGCACACAAAAAAAAAAATCTATATAAATAACGACAGCACTTTGTGAGGAGATAACGCTAACACCACTTCTCTGAAAGACACTCGCAGGCCAGGATAGGATGCAGTCTAATCACATGCAATACAAGAGCTGTATCCTTGGATGGTCAACACAGCGAGACAGTATTTCACACCTTCATGGGACAGGGAGTCAAAACAGAGGTGCGGATGTGCAATTTCACCTGTAGCTTTTTTATTTATTTATTTTTTACACGGGTGCCAATTTGAGTCATTTTGTAAAGTCACTTTTTTTTTTTTAATCGAGCATTGAATAAAAAAATGATTTTGTATTGTTGAAGTGCAGATATTATTTTTGTCCAATAGCAGTCACCATCCTTGTGTTCCAACATCGTATCTGTGACTTAAGCGTATGTATAGTTTTAAAAAGCGAGGGCTGGTGAGTGACATGAGTCTTATTAATTCTGTATTTTCACAGCCCCGCTTTGTTCAGCAGAAAGGTCGGTGCTGTTGGACAGTCTGCGGCGGGATGGATGCGTGGCTTGAGGAGCCGACGATGAGAAGAAAGGAGCGTCAGCGCAGAGCTATGTGGAACTGGGTGGGAGTCGCGGCTTGGAATTGAAGCGGATTTACATGGGACAGGAGATGAGAGCCAATCTCTTTTTCGTTAATGGACGCTCCAGCTTCTTGTTGCTTTCAAACTTAGCTTGTAGCGGATGTGTGCACATTTTCAGCGTGACATCTTTGATCCACTGGTGAAAAGGACACTTTGATTCGCTCCTCTTTTATCGATAACTGCTTCAAACAAAAAAGTGTATGTAGGAAAAGTGGTTAAGATTGCACGGCTGTCTGTGTCTTATGTGTTGTGTTGTATTATTTTGTCATTTTATGTTAACTGTTCTTTTGATGGCGGCCCGGGCACCCGCAGCAGCTCCTCTTGTCTGGTTGAGAGAGAGGAAATTTCATCTGTGCTGTATGTTGCACATACACCGCATTTGACAATAAAGTTGCACTGGACTTGACTTGATTGCAGCTTGGTCATCCGATAAGGAAAATTCTCCCATCTATGGCCCCTTCTTAAGTTTTTTTTTTC